GGAATACTATAAGTACAATATATTTCTTAGAATCGACAAAGTCGTATATTTCGATTAAAGCATTAAATCAACAAAATACAAGATATAGCCTATCTAAAGTAGCCGCACAGTAAACATGCGCCAAAACTTTTGAAACGATATTTTTTTTGTATTCACATCTTGAACAGACAGCATCTGTTCTGTTTTACACCTGCACAACAAGAAATGCAGATATTTTGTAAAGCAGCTGCAGTGTTGTATGACGTTTGCAATTTGTTATTATTACATGGGCGTACGTGTAAGGGCACGTGTCTTCTTTGGAATAAAAATCGGCAAAGTGCGTGTCGGACTCGTGCACGAAAGGTTCCGTGAAATCCAAAAAAAAACGAAAAAGAAAACGTGGTTTGGTAGTCCCTTAAATATTGTTTTATTCTGGTTTTTTTTCTACGTAGGTATTTGTTGTTATAGCGGCAGCAGAAATGCCTACAACATCTATGAAGGTTTTGCAAAATTATTTATTTGTATCAATGATACCTATTTATTTACAATATTTTATTTGTCACAAATTAATGAGAGTAAAGTTATGAGTTGTGACTCGTGAAATATTTTTATTACCTATCTGAGTATAATAGAATGCAACATACGGTCGATTGTTGAAGCGAGTTGGGGTCAATTCTCAAACCCGCATAGATTTATTATATATTTTATGACCTCTCACTTTACTTTTGCTCATTTTTATTCTATGTAAAGTTTCAAAGTCGTCCTTATTGAGCCGACTTAGAGTAGCAAATATTATTTGAGAAATATAATCTATTAGGTACCTATCGTAGGGGCGCATATGTGTTATTGTCTTCAATTGAGTTGAATCCCCTTTTGGTCACCGGGCATGCAATTTTACAATCAAATTTACTAGTATCTTATAATATAAACGACGAATAGGTAGGTATGTTTTCTCATTATTATTTTGTAGTTTACCTTTTTTATAGTTTTTTCATTTGAATAGACATTTTGCAACGAAGCTCTTCTTTATAAAATATAGGAATCACGAATAGATAAAGAAAATATCTATCAAGTAAGGAACATAATAACAGCGCAATTCACTTCGTTTATCCGAATCTGTAACATATTCTTAAGTTCTCAATTCTAACAAGTTTTTTTCACAAAAGAAGAAAAATGAACATTTAGTAGGTACGTGACATAAAAGAGAATTTGCTAACATTAATTCCTAGATAGACACTTTAATGTGCTTCGATCAACTTCGATTCTGCCCTAAGCTATGCGCTCAGTGGCACAACATGCTAAGTTATGTATTTAAAAAATCAAACTGCTATAGATATGAAAGGTAGGACAGTTGAACCGGCGTTGGCCATTTTAAGATGAAGACACTTTAAGAGTTACGAGGAAATGAATTTTGACACATCACAGTTGTTTAACCAAATGCAGAATTTTATAAACCGTTCACGATAAAGTAGGTAGGTAATATATTTGCCTGTGCGTTAGTGAGAACTCCTTGAAGTACCAAATGGCCAATAGCAGGCAGTGGCCGAAACTGCTAAGTTCATTTCTTCTGCCCTAAGATCATTTATCGACTGTGTTTTGAATAACTTATGAGTAGCTGTAAAGGCAATAAAAGACTGCTCCTATCTCATTTGCAATAAGGTGAATATGTAAAGAAGACGACGTTGTGTAAAATTGTTGCACAAAGCCTTCGACAATAAAGCGACCCACATAAAATTACAACAAAAAATAGAAATGTTATAAATTATGATTTTGCATATACGCGCCCTCTTAACGTGTTAGCTTTAGTTTGTGTCAATTTTTTAACCTATAACGGCGTAAGATTTTTATATTTTCGTTACGATATGTTACAAATTTGTTAGAAATCTAGCGAGCGAACTTGGTTGAAATACCTTTCAGATGTTCTAAAGGCAACTAAAGTTTGTGACGATGTAAGTTACTCTTTCACGTATGTTGATACTAAACAGAAAGCTAACAAGTTAATAACTCATTATTTGCTTTCATATGGTGAAAAAGATGTTATTTTTAATGTGCCTTAACACGAACCATGCGAAAGGCACTTCAATATGTAAAATAAAATTAAAATAAAGAGAAACGTCCTTTAAAACCATAGACGGTCACATTCTTCATATAAGTTTGTTTAAAAATATATTCTAACAAATTATGAAAAATGTAAGCTCACCGTTGTTGACTATGAACCTGTGCTTATCATTCTTCAGTTCCTTCGACAATTTCGGACATTCCCTCTCCAAAACAGTACACAACTCGTTTAACTTCACGCCACTTTGTTTACTAACAATCTCAATGAAATAGTTGCACTTATCATTGTTACTCGCACTAGTTATCAATTCTAAATCGCTAACACTGAACAAACCTTTTTTCACTAGCACATCTAATACATTTGTGTCAGTTAGTTCTCGTAATAACAACGTTTTGTGACGAATAAGACCGGCACACACTTCCCCTACCGCAGCCATCGTTCAACTGACAGAAGAAAAAAAAACACGTGCCGTGCCATTGAAATAAAGCGGACAGCCATTCAAGTGGGAACAGATGCTATGTGATTGTTCCGTACGCCATACGAGAACATATGCGATAAGGCAATGAAACTTTTATTATATACGAAATTTTCTTTTAACTCTGTATGTATAAAAACAATATACTATAGGTATACAATAAGTATTTCTTCTACTTTATTGTACCTATACCTCTGGTATACTTTTGTGTACTTTAGTTTGTAAATCGGACTCAGAAATTAGCGATGCTACTATTAGGCAAATATTACTTACGTATTATTATATACTAGCTTTTTTCCCGCTATATAGCCTATGTCAACCCAGTACCCCGTATGATGTAGATTAGCTACCCATAGGTGAAAGAATTTTTAAAATCGGTCCAGTGGTTCGATACAAACAAACAAGCAAATCTTTCCTCTATAATATTAGTATAAATTTATGTATATCATGAGCAATCCCTAATACCAATCAATTGCCTGGGGCTTCCAAGAATCGAACCAGTGATCTTTCACTAGCCAGGCCTCAGTTCCACGTAATAAATAATTTACCGTCGTATTGCTGATTTATAGATTTTTCCTTAGAGTAAAGTATCTACCTACATGCCGCGCATTATACCTTTTTTTTTCGAGAAAGTTTTATAAATTGACATTTTTCATTCTAATTATGCTAAATAATTATGTAGTTAGTTACCTCATTTTGAATGACAATTATATTGGACTTAATTACATAATTTCACAATCAATTTGGGTCAATAGCATATGTACTTAAGTATATACAAACTCCTTTTCTCACTCAACTATTTCACTCACAGAAATTCTTTTTTATATAAGAAGGTTTTTCACCTTTTGTAGTAAGAACCATAAAAAAACTATAGTAAAAGTTGATCTTAAAGGTGAGTATTGACTACTAAATTATTATTCTTTACTAATACCTATTTATCTACTTCTGAATATTTGACTCCGCCTCCATTTTTTCATAATGTCCCCACTGTTAAAACAGGCCTTTTCTATGGATAGAAATACAAAAGGTCTATCATTCAGACCTCAGAACACAAAATAGAAGTTCTGTGATTCATACGCAAAACCAAAACAGATTTTTAATGGCTGCGGAAGCAAGAAAGACTTTTTTTTTATGCGAACCAGAATTTACGAAGGTTACTTAATCGCTGTAATTGCAAAAACCAAAGAAGGTAATTTAAAAATAGATAGGGCCTGAGCCTTAGAAGTGAAGACATTCATAGGCTGGTGATGATAGCATCATCAGCCAATTCGCAAGCTGTCAACTTATGTTTCTGTCCCTAGTTCTCGCACACCGCATACATTCTAAATGATATGCAGTGCTGATTTTGACGCTAACAATGTCAGTAAGGAAATTTGGAAAATGTCAGTGAGTGAGGGCATGATAGTAAAACAAAATAAAGTCAGACGTCAGAACTTGTGGAGTAACGCATGCAGAATGCATCTGTATAAAAAAAGGAAGTTGATGGTGTCGGTGAAAATGCTAACAAAGACATTCTTTGGGTTGGCCATAATACAAAGAAAGCCGGGTGAATGAAAGATAACCCTGTAGGACGATTAAACTGATATATTTGCAACGCGAAAGAGTGGAAAGATATTTAAGACCCACTTTCACGATCAAATTGTTCTCATTGTATATATAAATATATTGCATTTTCTTATTTTTCATTCATTCATTATGGGTTAACTTAACTTCGACAGGATGATCATTAGAGGTAAGTCGGGCTACCAACTATACAAGTTTCATCCAAAATGTCGGGAATTGGGCAGTACTAGGCATTTCTTCATTTCTTGATTTTTTTCTTCAACTGTTATGTGTAAAGTCGTCTTCCAAGTGTAATTGAAGTAAGCAATTTTAAACATATGGTTCAGTGACATAATAGATGATAATATCGGGAGAAAAAAGAAGAAGGAGTGGTAAAGGATGGTTTACCTCTTACTTGTAAATTTTTTATGTTTCTGTGGAGCTCGAAAAGCTCCTAAGAATACATATAACATAGTATTATTATTATTTACTGTTGTAAGGGTCTATGTAGTTCCCTGAGGAACTGTAGTCACTGCGACCTTGAAGTTCTATTGTGATTCGCCGACAGAACTCCTTTAGTCCGGTAGTCCTCAAAAAGTCTATAATATTCCTGGCTTCTAGAGATTTTATACAGCTTCGTTTGTAGATCGGTGGTCCACATTCACACAGGAGATGTTTTGGTGTTTCACGTTCCTGCTTGCAATATCTACAAATCTCTGTGTCACTTAGTTTCATGTTAAATAGATGTCTGTTTAATTTGCAATGTCCTGCACATGTAGCATGACAAACTCGAGAACGTTTTGTCTACACTCAAATGTCACTTTTCTCGGGTGCGCTCAAGAATACATAACTATTACTTACTATTAGCTTGTATGGGCTAGATCCCTTTGTCTTTAGTAAAAAACCAACAACAAAGACATTTGACAGTGACACTGACAAGCCTATATATATGTTAAGTGACGTTTCGTTGAGCCAAGCGAAAGCGTATCTTGTTTGTCTTTTCTTTACAAACTTTAAGTGGTATTACATGAAATAAATGTGATAGAATAAACGAAATATAAATCGGATTATTATAATGACACTCAAATCGAAAATATCAACTAATGGTGAGTTAAGCATATAACCTTTTTATAGGAACTCACTTCTTGTTTTGTATTCGTTTGCTGAAATTTCTTGGTTAGTTTTACAACCCTGTGTGAAACGTTTCTTAAAATAATACGAATTTTATTTAAAAATTCAGTCGGAATTTGGATTGGCAATAATTTTCTGACAAAAATTGCGAGTTGATTATGTGTTGTGTTTGATAGTTTGGCAAGTTCTACCTCTTATCGTATTTATTAAAAATATATTAAAAAAATACTTTTAACCACTTATTCTATAGCATGCGAACTTAAATAAAGAGTTTACTTTTATTATGTGATGTTGTTAAATATTTATTTATTTATCACTGTATTAAAGTTGTAAAGCTGACAACATTATATCTGACTTAAATAATACAAATTCTATGAAAATACTGCAAAATCTAAAACACAGAGCACATTTGTAATGTATATTGTATTTCAATTTCAGACACAGATTCAGGGTCAGACTCTGACAGTGGTTCAAGCGGCAGTCATAGCAAGAGCCCTAGTCCAGCTCCTTCTGGTAAAGAGGGAAGTCGTTCTCGGTGAGTTTCAAGGGTGTTTAGTGAAATTAAATTAAATGAAAAACTTTTTTGATTTAATTTATTTATTTTATTTTAATAATACAATATTTTGTATATCAATATGCTTAAGAACCAGTATTTATATAGAACACATAACAGTCAAATCAGTTTTTGATGGGAAGGTTGGATGATGCATGTTTTTAACATACCAAAAAATAAAAAAAATAAATTTAACTATTGTTGTCTAGTATCTTTGGAGTTCCACAGTCCCACAAATCACAATGGATATTTTTACTAATAGTTTATTTTAATATTCAAAAATAATGTTAAGGAGGAATGCGGGGAACATGATAGTAAACTGACATATTACAAGTGCACCTCTAAATTTTAATGTTTTATTTTGCTTAAACTTCACAATTTTACCAAAAAATTCATCCTTATAACCTTCAAAACAATATAAATCTTTCTTATTATCACATAATGATAGCTTTCAGTGAGAGTTGATAGCACATTAGTTGTACTATCGCTTAAAGCCACAGTGGGCAACAGCCGGCCTGTTTTAAAAAACCTAATTTATAATAACATTGTCTTATTATTTCATGTCTGATATGTATTGCAAAAAATTATGAACACTACAACACTACTTTAAAATGTACTATCTTTAAATGCAGCCCATGAACAAGTTTGGCCCACAACATGTCCAAGGTTGCCCGTACCTGGCTAGTGTATGCAGTTTAAATTGATGTAGCAATTATTTTCTTATTTATTGTTTCTTTGCAAAAAAATAAATAATTAAAATAAAAAATATATTGGGATATTGTTTTCTTAGAGAAATTATTTTAAGAAAGTTTATATTGAATGCCAGACAGCTATGTGTGGAAAACATACACAACATTATGACTTGATTTGTGCCAATGTAACGGAGCAATGATTTTACAACACCATGACCAAAGAACATATAATTGCATGGAAATATGTATTATGCATAAGTAAACAGCCTAAATTCGACAATACCAACACAACCGCACAAGCTGTCATTGATGGAGTCATGGTGTTACATCACTTATGCAACTGAATATATTGGTTGTGGAAAATCCCCTATCAGATATGGACACTATAATTGCAACCTACCATAACATGACAATAGAAATGACGTAATTCTAGTTATTTGTCTTGAAAATGCGTGCATTTAGAGAGGAAATTCGAGAAGAAATGCAAGCTAAGCGATCAACGACAGCGTAGCCGCTCTTGCGATCAGGATCAACAATACGAAAACCATATGAAAAAAATCGATAAACGTATGGATCAGCTAAAGTTCCGAGGAGGCCACGAAACCGCTACATCTTTACTGAACGTCGTCGAAAATGTTTTGGCGCAAGATGTGGATAAGGGGACTATTCTGGTTCTATTAGATTTTTACCGTGCATTTGACACTTTGAAATATAGTCTACTCTTGGCAAAATTATCGTTTTACGAGCTACCTAAAGGGACTGTCACAACGTGTTGAGATCTTGAACCCCATTATTGATAAAAAGACATCCATAGACGCCGTTCCTCTCGTTCAAGGTGTACCGCAGGGATCAGTATTAGGCCCAGTATTTTTTCTTTTGTACAGTGCAGATTTAATCAAATGCATTGAGAACTGTAGGTATCATATGTACGCACATGATCTACAACTATATTTAGCTTTTAAACCAAATGATACTTTCACTGCTGTACGTAAAATTAAAGAAAATTCATGAATGGGAATCGCGAATCCATGAATGGGCTGATAAGATTTGCTTAGTATGAAATCCACTAATGTCAAAATGTATTGTTTTAAGCTCAAACATTCAATTTAATAGCATTAACACTAAAAATTTTAAGGTTAAAGTCAGCAGACTTATATTTCAAGATCACGTTGTTGATATAGCGAAAAACTGCTTCTATAGATTTAAAGTTTTGTACAGAGTGCGTGAGTTCCTTTATTATACCTGAGGATCCAGCTTCGTGAGATTTTAATACTCTCTAAACTGAATTATACAGATACAGTGATCTGGGGGTGTCTAATTATATACACTAAGAAGCTTTTTCAGCGTGGACAGTACCAATGTTCTCATTTCTGCTTCTCTATCCCACGGAGACCACACGTTATACTTTATCACAACAGGGGAAACCTCATGAAAATGTAGGCTTGGTATTCATTTCATTTTGCGTGCTGCTATTTGGTCTTATTCAGGGACGGTCACCGGTTTACTTGTATGACAAACTTAATTTTTCTTGTCGTACAGTCAGTAATGCTACTCGTCTTTTATATCCACGACATAACACACCCGCATTTCGCAGCAGTTTTCATTACGCTGCCACGAAATGTTGAAATAACATTCCTCCGCCTTTAAAACAGTTTGGTGCCGTCAAAACATTTAAAAACATATTAAAAAAACATCTTCTTGATTTACAGAAACTGATTTGAGTGTTGTGATGTTATTTTGTATACAGACAAAAATGCATGGTTTACACAATTTTTATTTTATTCATACCTGTATGTCATATAAATATTTTTGTATTTTTTCCTCATCTGGCGTCCATCGAGGTATCTTAATAACATCTCGTCACTATACTGAATGTTTATTTATTCATTCAATTTGTTATTTGTATATTGCGTGGTTGCTTAATAAATAAATTATTATTATTCAACTAAAATATTCCATACATCAGTCACATCTTCAAACATTTTCTTTTAAAATAAATATCAATATGGCATTGTAAAATATGAGTAAAAGTAGTGAATATTACTATTACGTATCTGTTTAAAGAAATTTTGTTTTTTTATAATAGAAATTTATATCCTAATTTTTCTAAAAAAGAGACATTATATTTTTAGGTCTGCTTCAAAAAGTCCAGCAAGATCAGGGAGTGAGTCAGCAAACTCTAATAGATCCCGAAAATCATCAAATGCTTCTCGAAGTAAATCGAACTCTCCTGCACCATCTAACAGATCTCGTTCGGGCTCAGCTCGCAGTAATAGGTCTGGCTCCTCCAGTCCTAAATCTCAGGCATCTGACAGCCAGAAAACAAGAGCTTCTAGATCAAGGTCTGGAAGTGGCTCTAGAAGATCCCGTTCAGGATCTGGTAGTGCTCGATCTCGTTCAGGCAGTGCCAAATCTCGATCAGTAAGCCCTAAGTCCGCTGCACAAAGTCCAAAATCACGTAGCTCAAAATCTAGATCTCAGAGTCCAAACTCAGGGTCAAAAAGTCCAAAATCTAGGTCTCAGAGTCCAAAGTCTCGTTCCCATAGTCCAAAATCAAGATCTCACAGTCCTAAATCTCAAACTGCTAAAAGTAGATCTCGTTCAAAATCTCGAAGTGGAAGCCCAAAAAGCAGGAAATCCAGATCTGGAAGTGGTTCCTCTAGGTCCAAGAGTCCAGTTACAAGAGAAGATGTTCAGGACAGTAGGTCAAATTCACCAAACCTTATGATAGATGATGATCAAGGAAAAGAGAAGTCTAAAAGTAGATCAAGGTAACCTCCAGTTTTTACTCTTTTATATTAGAAATTAAGAAAACAATGTTTTAGATTATCATGAAGTCGTTAAATTTAGAGTAATAGTAATAGTTGTTATACCTTTATATAATGGAAACCCTAATATAAGCCGTGATTGTCTCTAATTATTTTTTATGCTATTTTCTTATTCAAGATCGGGATCCCGACAATCCAGGTCAAAATCACGCAGCAAATCCAAATCTAAGAGCCGATCACGATCAAGATCTAAGAGCTCTGAGGTGGAAACTGGTTAGTAGACTTTTAAGTAACTAATATAAAGATTTTTTTTAAGTGATTGGCTCTGTAAGGCTTAACTACTCCTGAGAATGCTCCATGGAGGGGCGAAACACGTGCACAGTGGTGATTTTACGAGTTTTGTTGCCGTTTGTACTTGCGATTTTGTGTGCGGGCAATACACACCAGCTCTTGCGGATGCTGATGGCATGTGCAAGTTGCTAGATATCAAAGTTATAATTATTCTTTTTAATTTTAACTCTATTCTAACTGCCATATTTGCACCATTTTGTATTAGTTTATGATTGTATGTAGTGTTATGTTTTTATTTTCACAGATAAAAAGAAACGTGCTGTTTTGTCAGACTCTGATAGCGATGCGGATACCAAAGGTGCACCCAAACGTAAGAAAGAAGGTTCAGAGAGTGGTTCAGACAGTAGCAGTAAACCTGAAAAAAAGAAGTCAAAAAAAATCATTGACTCAGAAGATGAAAATCAGGAAAAGACTGGTATGTTCAAAAATTTGGTTGAAGCGGAAACTTTGCTTCTAACAAGTTCTAAAGAAGTTCAAAATTGATTCCAGTTTGTCCTTTTGAAGAAACTTGACATGTAGCTTTGTGTACAAATATTTTTTTTAGTATATCTATCTAATTGTGATCATTGATAATACCAGTGACGGCCGATGCTTTATTTGGTGATGCGTCGGATATTAGTACGGAAGACGAGGGTGAGAAGAAGTCGAGGTCGGGCTCCCGCTCAAGGTCAAGGTCGAGGTCGAGGTCGCGCAGTCGCAGTGCACAAAGGTCGGACGATGAACGCCGTTCTGGTGATGAAGCGAAGGCTAGTGGAGAAGAGGTGAGTTAAAATGGTCCTTATTTTAAGGTATATAAGTGGGGAATTCACTAGACTGGTTTGCCCACCGGAGCTCGCTACTATAGGTCTGTATAATGACTGCGTCGGTCCGACACTAGAAATATTACGTCCATACAGTACATTATGAATATCCATATCTCCATACATTTTTAGGAGGGATAATCCATCGCCTTATAACTGTGTCAAAATAATATTTTTGTGTATCTTTTTTTCAAAATGCTCAAATACAATAGACAGCAAAATAGAGAGTTATCAACGTGACATTTCTATGAGTTCATGTATCGACTAGTATAGGATTATATTGTCATTTATACTTGATTAGCAATTGTCTCTACAGGAGAATAGAGAGAAACCAGAAGAGGAAGAGGAACAGGAGATCCCGGAAACTCGTATAGATGTCGATATGCCCAAGATATGGATTGAGCTCGGCAAGGAGCTGCATTTTGTGAAGTTGCCCAACTTTTTGTCAGTAGAGACTAGACCTTATGACCCAAACACTTATGAAGATGAGATCGACGAAGAGGAAACTTTGGATGAAGAAGGTCGAGCTAGGTGAGATCTCTTGCTACCTTAGACTGTGATTCGTTTTCCACTGACACCATTCTTTGATTTCTTTAATTTGATTACGAGTTTAATTAAAAAGTCTTGTATCTCGTAACAGAATCGTGTCGTGTTACTGTGACGACAGCTGTCGGATTAGTCATAAAGATATGCCTAGATGGCGCTGTTCTTAGCTCATTTATATCTTTTTATTTCGTAATCGATTGTTAGATGGCATTGTTCTTGTTTTGTTGACATCTTTTATTCTTCATCTCTATGCTTCTGTTTTTGTGTACATATTACAATAACGTCATGAATATAACTGACAGCGGTTTCGCGGGTAAAAAAAAGTTACAATTTTGATTTTATTTTAAAGCAACAATACGTGTTTATTTTTCCCGAAATATTTGTTTTGTGGTTTTTAAATTAAAATAAACAGTTGCAAGTATTATTTCAAACAGAGTAAAATATCCTATTAGTTTCTGTAGTATGTAATGAATTTCATCTGATAGTACATTATGACCTTCTTTCCAGATTGAAATTGAAAGTAGAGAACACAATACGTTGGCGTACGATATTCGACAAAGAAGGCAACGCATGCAAAGAATCGAACGCCCGTATGGTTAAATGGTCTGATGGCAGTATGTCTCTACATCTCGGCTCTGAAATATTCGACGTATACAAACAACCTTTACACGTATGTTAACTCTCACTTATATAATATATTTCAGTACGATAATATACTTTGGCTCTTTGATCGTTTATTCCAAATTGAAAGTAAGTGCTCTGTAGTATTCCACTATTAGAACAAAAGACAACACAAGCAATGGTCAAAAAAGTACAGGGCCATATATGATCTACCACCCTGGTCGACATAAAGTTTGTTGATTTTCCCTTGCAATAATATAATGATTGACTATTACTTCAAATGTCAGCATCAGACTCAAACTAAGGTCTTATAGTGATAAGAAAGTGAGTAGTTCGGTGGCGTAGTGAATAAGCACTGCGGCCCGCGATCGTTGTTGGTGAGCAACTTTCGGTAAGGGTCGGTCACGAGATGGGTGACCAAAAAATTGTCATCTCTAGCTAGATAATAAGTGAGAGTTGAACTTCTTAACTCCATTAAAATAATCAACTTTTAATTAGATCTTACAGAAACAACTTTTGTCAGAACTGGCAGACCACTTTCTTGGCTGACCATATTATTGATTATACTCGTATAATTTATTGATCAATTTTTCTTTAATATTCCACTTTAATCATTTAATTTGCTTTAAGTTTCATACTTGTGTGTTTATATACAGGGCGATCACAATCATCTGTACGTTCGTCAAGGCACAGGTCTCCAAGGGCAGGCCGTGTTCCGTACCAAGTTATCGTTCAGGCCTCACTCGACTGAGTCATTCACTCACAGGAAGATGACACTCTCTCTAGCGGACAGATCCACTAAGACGTCCGCCATTAAAATCCTGTCGCAAGTCGGTGCCGATCCTGACGCCGATAGGAAATATCAGTTGAAGGTAATATTACTTTTATAAGGTTATTGTATAAAGTTTAATTACTTTTGTCAATAGATGGCGCTAGTTTTAATTGATCTTTGTAATCCTTTCTCGATGAATTTGTCCAAATTCATTTGTAGTGGCATGTTTACGTTTATAGTGATAATAGTGATGTGATAAAATAAAACGCAAATGACAGCTCACATTCATTCTATTCTGACAGCTCACGTTTATCATTCATTTATTATAACAAAGCACACCTAACAGTTCACGTAATGTTGTCTATGTCTATGGTTTTAAATTATCGCTAAGTTGGCCGATAATATATTTGTTTTGTTTCGTAGTAGAGGGTAGTGGAATATAATAAAAAATAATATTTTGTTACAAACTCAGACTCGGAACATTCTTGGAGTACTTTTTAATTTACTTTTCGCGTGCCATTTTCTTTTCACGTCTTATTGTTAAAAATCTAAGGTTAAAAGCAAAAATCCAATTTAAAATGAGTGCTTCTAGCAACGAAGAAGTTTATTTGTCGCCAACAGAATTTACTAATATAATAATCTATACTCCGTTCATTATAGCATTAGACAGAAGTTAAATAAGGTTTTTTTTATGGTATACTTTGTGACAAAATATCAGTAATCATGTTATTCTTAAGTCTGACGGCAAATTTGCTACATATCCACTTAAATACCAGCTGCTATACTTAATCGTTGTCGTTTAAGCTATATATTAAACAAATTTATGAGTATTTAACTCACTTAAATGATTTAATAACTAGTACAATAAAAAGTGTTTATCTTAAAAAACTAAATTCTATTCTAATTATATACACTTTAAAAAGAATTTATCAAAACAACAGATAGTTTATTTTAGTTCCATGTCGGCTTAGGAGTAAAAGATGAATTTACTCACAAGCCACCATGGAAAACTTAATTAAAAATTAAAAGAAAATTCTGACCTCAACTCAACCCCGAGGTATCGTAAAAAATTGACAATTGCCCAGCTCTTTTAGACTGCCTAACATTCAAAGTTTCAACAAATCTCTAATATTTATTTTTAAAATTTATCTTGAAAATAAAATGTTCTGCACCGCTGCTTCTATGACCCTCTTTTTTCTAATGTTATAATGAATGGAGTATAGTAGGTAATACCTAAACTGAAATAAAAGTACATATCTTATGATTGTTAATGTTTTCTTCGAATTTAATCATTTTCTCGCTGGTGTGGGATGAAAAGTTACGTGTTTCATTCGAGTGCAAAGATTTTACACCTCGTGTTCTATTGATTCCCACGTCAACGCTCATTATTCAAATTTTAAGCAAATAACTATTACTTTGTCTATATTTAAAAATTTCAATGACTCGATATCCCAGTGGTTCCATACTAGAAAATATACTCTTTTTTTTTAATACTGTTGAATCGAATGTTATGTTTGGGACGTTTTTGAATCGGTGTCGTATTGATAACTTTATTCTGCCTTTGATGTAATGTAGAAAGAAGAAATGGAACTGCGCGCAGCGATGCGATCGCGAGCTTCAACTCGTCCTAAGAGGCGAGCGGGGGGCGGGGGTGGGGGAGGGGGGCGCGGCGCCGGCGCCCGGGCCGGGGATGACTCGGAGGACGAAGGCGGAGTCTCATTGCAGGCAATCAAGAACAAATACAAGCAGGGGCAGAAAGGTCAGTTGATTCGAAAATAATCTTTCGCTAATTTGTTATCACGATTTTATATAAGAACTATTTTCTATTTGATGCTTAGCACTTGTACGGATAAGACATATTAATGCAACTTTCTGTCGTCTGTCTGTAAACAATTTTTAGGGTTCCGTACTCAAAGGGTGAAACGGGAATCCTATTACTAAGACTTCGCTGTGTGCCTGTTACCAGCCTATATCTCATGAAATGTATTTCTGTTGCCGTTTCAATAACAAATAATAAAAACCAGAATAAAATAAATATTTACATAGGCTCCCATACAACATACTTGATTTTTTTTGCTGTCACCAGTCTGTATCTCATGAGTCTTGATAGTTAGACAGTTGGGAATTTCACAGCTGATATATTTATATGCCTGCTATAACAGCTAATGCTAAAAAATAAAATACGGCGGCTTCAAACAACAAACGTGATGTTTTTTCGCTTGTTTTTGGTCGCACTTGGCCTGTTTTTTGTAAACATCGAATGTCATCCACAGAGTAGTAAGCAAAGAGTAATAATTTTAATAATAATAGTAGTAATTTTATATAGTAACATAAAATTGCTTCATATTTGGATGTAAGAAGGTAGAAAATAAATAATTTTCAAAAAAAAAAAGTTCTTGTGCTGCCATCTACGAGCTTTGCGTTGTATGTAAAGTATATTTCGCATAGCTCGTAGATCTTATGCGAAGAACTAATTGAATAAATGAACTACGTGAATACCGAACCGAAATCTCTCTCTCTTTAATTACAAGGTGTAATTAACTATGGCATCTTAGTTGTTATTACTCTGCGCAGGTACATCAGTGACTCATATTATTTGTTTCGTACTGTAATGTGTTATCAAAATAAGTAAAATATGATTGTAAATTATATTTATATGTATATACCCCTTATAGCGACGGCAGGCGCGGCAATCTACTCCTCCGAGTCTGACGGGTCCGATGTCGAAACTCGTCGCGCTCGTCGTCTGGATCGTGCTAAAGCACTCAAAGACTCTGACTCCGAAGGAAGCGCAGCGGAAGGCGGCGGCGATACGCCACAGCGTAGCCGCAGTGCTAGTCACACTGGCAGCGGCAGCGGGAGCGAGTAACCTTAGCATGATAGATTTAAGGTAGGAATTCGCTTGGTTATAAATAGGAGTGTAGACAACTTCTTTATATTTTTATTTTATAGATGTACATAAAAATAAATACCTGAATATATATAATTCATATAATAAATTAAAATCTAAAATTAAATTTTCAAAATTTACTACGAAAACGTAACTTCTGTCATGGCGTCGCTATGACGTCACGGCACTCTGAAACTTATATCGTTATATTTTAAATTATTTTGTGATCTCAGCGTCTAAAATGGATCTTATTACCATAGGGTAAAGATTTGTTACATTCTAAAAATCATTCGTTTCATTCGTTCTTTAGATTACATTATCAACAAGAATCGAAATTAATAATTTTCACAGTCTTTGCCTTAACCACTTTGCTATTAAGGCATTACTTTCTTAATTATAAATTGCTTTAGTTTCGTCGTCTTGCCATTGTCTTTTAAGATTTCCAATTCACGTTATTTTAAAATTATTATTTCCTTTTTACAGTTTGACTAAACATTGCGGGCGGGCTAAATTATATATGGCAACGCTGAAACATGAAAATATGTCTGAATGCTCTAGATATTAAGTTATTGTAAATAAATTATAGCGTAATTAAGCTGCTGTTTTATTATTTTACAAAATGCCAAATACCTTGAAGGTTATTGTAATAGGTCATTGGCTGCATCTGCTGTCATTAATATCCACCAATCCGCACTGAGCCCGCGTGTTGGGTCATGGCCCGTTCTTTCAATTAGATTCCATCTATGGGAAGGCCTGAGCACCAGCAATAGGAACATCAATGAGGCTGGTGATGATAGTTTGATGGTACTGTAGGTAGTGCTTTATCTGTGTCTTATGAGAGCTAAGCTAACTTACGCAAAGACCGGTCATGGAATGGGTGACCATAAATATACCAACATATTTTCAACTACCGTGTTCTGTTACGGGGGCGATCAAGAATGGTTTTAAAAAAAAAACTTATTTTATTTTAACACTTAGTTTAATTGTATGAACAACACGATATTTTTAGAAAGAAAGAAAGAAATTTATTGACCCACAAACATAATTGTTAACAAGAATACAGTAAAAAAGAGAGAAAAAAAAAGAAAAAAAATTTTAGAACAATATGTTGTCCGACGGGAGTCCAATCCAAAACTACGTCTTGAACGCAATTATAATATTGAATAATACAACGCGATAGGAAACGTCTATGTTGCGTTTTTTATTCTAATAGGAACTAATAGAAATTATAACAGTTTGGAAGGCACCTTACGGTGTTATTCCTTGCTGAATCTACGTCGTTGACACACAGCACGCCGAACTGGAGCCTCGTTGCGGGTTGTAATCTATTCGCAGTGGAGGATATTAGTTAGTGGTTATGAAATAGATAGTCAGTAAAGAATATCGGATTTTATTTTCTTTTAACAATTGACTTAACACTTTTGCTTACGACTATACTTAATTTACGAATACTTGATAACGTGCCGTTGCTTCAACCGACAAGTAAATAAGTATACCATAATACTTAGGGTACCAGCCTCATTTGGTAAATATTTTAAGAAGTCCCACAAAGCGCTATTCTTCATTTCTTCAGAGGCGTTTCAAGAGAAAGAACTTAAAAAGCGTAATTTTTGGAATGTTTTGGCCATGCGACTCGTTCATTGAGAACAGGTAGGATAGGTAAATTATACTTTATCAGTGCTATTAATATGCAAGGTTTAGCGTCAGAGCAAATTTAAGCTAAAATTGCAATTTTAGTATTAGTTCAAATTCATATTATGCAGAGAATAAGCAAACCTACTACCTTCTAGGAGTAAATATTACTCCCATGGAACCTCGTACTAGGTTAACCTTAGCTAAGATTATTTAATAATATAAATTTTGACCAATAAGTGCAATTTCAGAAATTGGCGTAAATTTACTCCAACGCTAAACCTTGTCTAATAATAACACTATAAATAAGCACACTTGCAAGTACACATACAACTCAACACATATCAGAAATCATTCCTTTAAACTCGCGGTTTAAGTATTGCTGAAAACGCTAAAGGTCGTAGCAGACGGTTAAGGTGCTATAATGCTATGATATTCTGGGCAAGGTGTTGGGCAACACACACACACACTACACACATGTTTGTACGAGTATTAAGTATTTTAAGATACCAAGCGATATAGAAATACAATATATAATATTTCGTATCTTAAGATATAAAATATTATAGCATTTAACATATTATAGCATATGAAATATTATAGCATTTATGTTATCGTATCTAAAATATAAGTGATAGATCATGATGTTAAAATATGTTTTTTAACAATATTATATAAGATTAAATATTATATGTAGCATATTAACCGTCTGTTATAAGTTTAAACTGCATATATTTCGACTCGCGTTTCCAGTTGGCTAATAAGCGATCTTATAAAGAAGACTATGTATTACATTACGATTCTTTAAAGGTTCACATTTGCGTTAAATCGCAGCGCGGTCTTAGCCTTACTCTTATAGAGATTCAGTCTTATCGCTTATTGTTTGATACATCAGCGTCGTCGTGTTGTCATTGACTACATCCAAATAAACTTGTGTCCCATAAACTATTCTGCCAACAGCTATTATTCTCCAAGTGCCACGGTCCTGTTTAGTGATATTTGGAATTAAATAACCACAAGACTCCATATTGATGTTGTTTCTCTCATAAAATCTATCGAATGTAGATTTCGGTGCTTTTAGTTCGCAACTAGATATATGTGCGATTGGATGAGCAAAACTGAATACAAATGTGTCTCCTTCACGCAGTTTTGCTATCCTCGGTTTCGGCGGTATGTATTCTGTAAAATTATTGTTTTTTAAATTATCTACGCCTTAGCATGGCATTGGTTGTTGTTCATATGTTAAATAAGTTATGCAATTTTCTTTGAATTCTAGACAAAGACCGTATGAATGCATTAGGTCGTTACAATATCTTTAAGATAGCAGTGAGGAATTCCAATATTGTAAACAGAAAAAGTTATAAGTGATTAAAATTTATGGGTAAATATATATTTTTATGTATTTTTTATGTACACACAGAAGTCCACGAGGAGTAGTTCCTCAGATGCTGATAATATTCTCATATTACAGAAGCGATATATTATGACTATCAACAGTATTAGTTCAAATAGGGTGTCGTGCCGATCCCTATTTGTCGAGATGAAGGTATATATATTAACAAAATATTATATAATTGAATAGTGCAATCTCATATGAAGATATCCTTATAAATTTATCCGGAAAATCCAACTTTCAAGAGCGATAGATTAGCTTATGGGTGTATAGCCCACAACAACTCGATATAGACTCGAGTCACAACAAAAATCTATAAAGCTGTCAATGTGTATAATAGATTGACCGATGATATTAAATCACTGTCTGAGACTCGATATAAAAAAGTTAAGAGTTTACTTTATTCTATAAGTCCTTATAACTTCAATTAATTTATGCAAAGTTCTCAATGTATTTGTTAAACTGATAATTAAATTAAATTTATTATACATATTTAATTGACAATTTCAGAACTTAATTAGTAGATATTGACATATCATGCTATGCCTTATTGGCAAAATTGTTAAGGTGCTGTAAATAACTTAAATTAGACCAATGTAACCAAAGATTTATGGCAAATAAATAAATAACTAGTTATCGCTAACAACGTAATTTGAAACATTAATAATGTCCAATTAAATTGCCTGTGGTTTGGAAATTTAAAAAAAAATGTAGCTGCACTTTTGAGTCTGTAACTCTAAATTAAAATACTTTTTCAATGCAGTTGCTCATAAAGCGCTATTTATTAATCCATTGTTGTCACCGAAAGTGAGTCTTTAAACACGTGTTAAAAAAAAAATGTACTGAAATCCTTTACTGCACACGTGCTTAAAAGTATTTTTTTAATTTTTTTTGGCCGAACACCAAAGAAATTAAAAGAAATTGATGAAAATATGTCAAAAACATTAGAGGCAAAAATATTTCAAGGAGCCAAGAACGAATATTTTCAAATAAAAATGTATGACACGAAAACATGTTCAAATATCACGTTTAATTTTAACAAATATTTTTTACCTTTAATACATACTTAGTTTTATTAACCTATATATTTGTTTTATTTCCTCGCAAAAAGCATTGAAAAATGTTGTAAGAAACTTGAGTGTAAAGGGTTTTTCGAATTCGTGCCAATGAAAACCCTCGCTGCGCTCGTGTTTTCAATTTGGCTCTTATTCGTAAAACCTTACTTTCAGCACTCGTATCTTAAATAACTATTTCATAAATATGCTTTATGAATTTTGAATATTTATTTTTGTATGTATTTTAAATAGTTGCATGTGTGTGAATGCTAAAATGTGTTCTGTAAAATATATTTCTAATTATTCTCGTATTTCTTAAAATCCTCTTCAATTTTGATACTGTCAGTTTCGTTCATATTTCTGTGGTTTCGTTGTTGATCCTCTAAATATTTGGGGAAAATATTTTTTATATTTTGTAGTGTTAATATTGAAATTCTCAATTTTGGTTAATAATTTCACAGATAATACAAACGAAAATCAAATTAAATGTGTTCTATTTATTTATAACAGAAACGTAAATTTAATAAATTGTTGTCATAATATTCTATGAAAACTTAACTACACTTTTAAAATTCCCTGTGCGCATTCCGAATTACTTTATTAAATTTTGACTTCCTCTGTACAACTCTCTTAACTGGTTCTGTTAACTAAACACAACTAATTTGAATTTGTTTTGAACTTTTTCGTTATCAATTATAATGAAATTCACAATGAAACTCCATTATAAAAAAATAATAATTAGTCTTCTGTCTTAATTATTCACAGATTAAAGACGCATTTTGATCTGTTGTTTGACAGGACTAAAACCATACTTATACCCAATGCAAATAACTTACCTATTATTTCTATAGTAATAACTCGAAATATTTCGATCCAATCTCCATTGCTATCTTGACTGTATGCGCTCAACACCCAATTCCCATTGTCTTCTTCCTTCAAGGGCCCGATAATGAAGTCGTTCGCATTCATTTTATCAGCATATTCCTCAAAAGTGTTAGTATTCTCTTTATCTTTGGAATTTAAATTAAAAAGCACGTAGTCATCGGACGGAAGAATACTTTTAACATGACCGGCATATTTTATATTTATTGAGTTGTATTGGTCGTCTATTATATTTTCTTTTGGCGTTGGGTATGTGGGGCGACTGATGTTCAACTTAATAGCGTCTCCACTCGGCTTGTATAAGTAGTATCTAGCGTTTTGGACGATTGGTGCAGAGATAACAACCAAATCGGACAATATTCCAGAGATATGTAAAGGCGATAGTTCAACTCTCTTTTTACCTGTGAATTAATTAATATTTTATTGTATACCTATAAGGCATTAGTTATTAACGATAGCATTAGTTATACGTAAATTAAACAGCTTTCGCCGTCATAGAATGAGTGATCAAAAATTGATTATCAAGCTCAAGATCAAGCTCCTCCGTGCTTCGGAAGACAAGTTAAGCCGTTTGTCCCGGCTGCATTTACCCACTAAACTGCACTTGATCAAGCTTTACAAAGCTTTTTACGTTTTTGTCACGAGTTCCCATCTACTATCTATTATTGCCGGGCGCAATAAGATACTCGTAGATAGGGAACATCTATTGTATTTACGCCCAGCCTTAAATAAGTTGGTGCTCAGTTGATGTCAATGTCGAATGGCATCTATTAACATCCGCAAAACGTATTTTTTATAATCTAAACTAAATAAGCATAACGTTTCTTTATCTGTTCACTGATAATTTTTGATAACAGTGATGGTGGCAGAGCCGATATCAAACACTATTAACTGTGGTTTATTTCTACACTGACAATTTTAGACTTCACATTATGATATTCTGATATAAATTTATATATTTCATATCTAGAGTCGACTGAAATCGATGGCGCAGTGATTAACTTGGTACGCGATACCAAGGTTAAAAAACTTTAATTAGGACCGGTCATATTATGGGTGGCCAAAAATTTATTGTCACGTCTTCATGCTTCAGAAGGCACGTTAGAACTCAGGGCCTGGGCTGATGTGGTAGTTTATGGCCCGAATGCCCTATGCCAGCAGAGGGAAGGCATGTGCCAGCAAGGGGACATTAATAGCCTAGCAATGATGTATATGTGTGTATTAGAGATTGGCATCAATACAAAAAAAAATAGTGTACAAATAAAACAAAAGGTAATATCGCGCGTATAAATAAAGTGAAACGAGATGAAATCGCGAGGTCAGTAATTAGTTTGTATTGCACGAAGTATCTAATGCGGCAAAAATAATCTTCAGTCATATACCTACATACAATACGTTCACGAAAATCATTGTTTTTTTGTAAAATCACACAATATTTATCAATTTCCACAACAATAAAATATTGTATACTAACTGTTTTCCCACGACTTCGCATGTGTCAATTACGACCTATTAATGTAGTTAGTTACCCGTAGGTGAAATCATTTTTTATGTCGTTCCAGTAAGTACTTCCGGTGCTTATTCGATACAAACAAACATACATACAAACAAACAATCAAATATTTCCTCTTTATAATATTAGTATAGATAATAATTACGAAAAAGGATAGGTAGATTTTAAAGAATAAAAGATATCAATATATTCTTTTATATTGAGGTCTTTTGTCTTATGTGTTAGATGTAACTTTTTGTGAAGCAAATGAAATGGTCCCAGTCAATGATATTGACTATTTTATCAGGTTAGGTTAAACCTACATAATATTCAATAAATCAGGCATATTTATACCAGTTAAATACATAAATATTTTTGGTAAGTTCGAAGAAATGGAATGTGATAAAACCTGTGTTCTATGGATAAAATTATAATTTCAGACCAACTGCTTACTCACTTTGTATCTCTTTCAGGTTTATCTATTATAAGTAATTTTACTGTAATAACTACTGCATTGGGATTAATCTAAAGATACGATTTACCGGTCCCTCGTTAGTCCAGTTTAAAATATTATGTGTCTAGATGCCTAGTCTTTTTTTTATTTTGTTCACCACAATTATGATTGTATTTACCCTTAGCTAACCATGTTAATATTATAGTTGACGGTCGAGCGTTGACGTCACTAATGTTTCCATTTTCTTTGTGCGAGCAATATTGTTACGATAACTTGAGGTGGTTTTGAAAATCCAAAGGGATTTGTAACGCAAACTGATTTTTCATTAACCCGTCAATGTAAGCGTAACTATCGGATTGTAATGTAATTAATTTTTGATCACGAAACATATATATATTTTTAATTTATACCAAATATATTGCAATATTTACACAAACTTCTTGTGAAAAGTATCGAATATATGAATTTTCCGAACTTAGATATTACTTACAATTACATATTTACATACATATACATAATAAATAAAAACAGTAGATATCTTTCTGTTAATTCGTAAACAACAGCTACAATTCTACATTAATGTGTTTTCTATAAATTCGGAAAAATCTTTTGATATTGCTCAAGTATAAGTTCTTTTCACCTAACTTCCGTTAGTCACCATTTAGTATTTTTGTATTACCTCCTACCTGTTTTCCCGCCGTTTCGCCCGCGTAAATTTTAGCCTATGTCACCCGTAAATTTCTAAAATCGGTTCAGTAGTTTTAGAGCCTGTTCGTTGTGAACAAACAATAAAATATTTCTTCTTTATAATATTATTATAGATAATATTTATGGTAGGTATTACCAATTCTGAATGTCATTGTGTAATAAAAAAAATTTCACTCACTAATTATATCAACTTCTTGACTCCAATTTATTGTAACACAATGTGATAATACGAAACACATAAAAATTATAACTGGTATGTACGAGCACATATCTTCAGAGTTAAGTGTTGACTGATACACGAAATATTATTTCCTAAGTCAGTGCGTTCTTAACCTTTATCTGAAGCCAATAGAGTAGACATTGGATGGAGGCGTAGTGAGCCAATATTGTACAGCGCGCGTATCGACTCGAATACAAGAATATCAAATGCACACTTGTGAAAACAAATTGAGGAGTCAAATGAAAAGTAAAGGTGAAGTAGTATCTTCAAAAATAGGCTGCATTGTGAAATTAACAATGATAACGATTGATTTACTAATTAATCTATACTAATATTATAAAAAAGGAAATACCTATTTGGTAGATTGTTTGTTGAGAACTCTTTATCTGGAAGGCTATCATGGTACCTAATTTACGCGGGCATAATAGCGGGAAAACGGCTTGTATAAAATAATTTAGCTTTTTTAAAGTTTTAATTTTTTTCAAATCTGTCATTATACACATGATGTGGACCTTTCTGTGTTAATTTAATTGTAAGATCATCTTGTTTATTTATATATTTTCTTTCTTGTTTTATTATTCATATCACTTATGATTTTTATATGCCTACATTTTATGTTAGTTCCATTTTTTATTATTAAGATAAAATGGCAGTAAAGAACCGTTTAAATCTAAATAGACCTTTCGGATATTTATAGAATTTTCCAGGGATCATGGTAACTACAACGCCCGAATTATCGGTTGTTGTTATTTGTCTCCTCACTATATTTAACTCCATATGGGGGATTGTGGATAAAAATAAAACTCATTTATAATACCAGGACAGAAATATTTTATAATTATGTACAGTTTTATGAAATTTTAAATTATAAATAATGACTATGAACTCGCTTTTATCCGATATGATTCGGCCAGCACCGTTTCCTTGTTTTCGTGTGTAAAACTCCCCGAATTGCGTCTAAATCGCAAAATAAGATCGTAAAACGTATGTAAGAAGATGATATTAGAATGCTTGTATATAACCCTGCATGTTTAAGACTGAAAAGATGCGCAGAATCATTAAAAAGGCAGCAAAGTGTGATAGAGAACTCGACGATTCGTCAAGCAGCGCCAAAGCGGGCGGCAAAAATAGGAAAATTTCGGGTCAACACGATTCGGATAAACGAAATTTTACTGTGTCTATTTTAATGAAAATTGAGTAATTAAGTAGTTTATTCCGTAGCTACAGCTGTAGATATTATCCAATCGAGAAAAGCTGATACGCGTGTGTTCAGTCCAGGATACATCAGGTGTGCGCATCCCTCGGCATGAGAGAATATACCCACTACGACATTGTTACTATCCACTATTGGACTACCCTGGTTACCCTGAAAAAAGACATAAAATTATAATTTATCAGCTGTCTTCCCGCGACTTCGACCGCGTTAATTATATATAGCCTATGTCACCCAAGCATGATGCAGGTGTACGTTCTACGTGAGTGTAAGAATTTTGAAAATTGGTTCAGTAATTTTATAAATAAATAATCCATACCGTAACCTTTAAACAAGTGAGCACAGAGTGATAAAAAAAGAAACGAATGATACAAAAACCAATGAGGCTTACATAAAAACGTAATCACTGAAAAAAAATCGAAAAATACAACTACTAAACACAGGAATAAAACAAAAACGCATACTTCTGAAGAAGAAATTAAAGATTTCAATTAAGTTTAGGCTTGTGTCCTACAAATGAAAATATAGGTTTCTGTTATATGCTCGGAAAATATGTTGCATTTTAACTTACACATATTTAACAAAATAAATTTTATGACACTAATTTGGAAAATATTACGATTTGAAAACTAAAAAAAAAAGATATATTTTACTGAAAAATATTCTTAATAAAATGCTTAAAAAATCCTGGCACCCTGAGATGAGATTCGAACTCATGACCTTTCGCAGTCCGGGAGACTAAACAACGCTCATACATTTTTCGCTACCGTAGCACTGTGTGACGGCACTTAGTGCCTTGATAGGGAGCGTTTTCGCTTGACTATCAGCAGTTCCACAAACATAGTCCCGTATCCCCGAAACTATTAATCGCAGACATGCTGTTACTTCTACATTATTTCTCAGATATCAATGGACTATTTATTTATAAAATAAAATAAAAGTTGCCAACTAACCTATTATAATCATTTAATATTTCAATTAGACAACTATCGAATGCAGTCTTTTGACGTAAAAACCTAGAATGGCGTAAACATAGCATGACACTGATGCAACAAACAGAGAACTCATCTCTAAGTAGAGTTAACGATCGTACAAGCAACGATGTGATTTCAGCGAGCCATGGTTAAACAGATGTCCTAATAAATCGCACGATGCCCAACTCTCTCTTCGCGTAGCAGTTCAAAAGAGCAATTTATCTTTGATAGGCCATTCGCACAATCAACCCTTCAATGATTGTGCATCAGTTGCGCTTGCATTAACTTTGAGTTCTAATTACGACACTAGAATGAATAGGGATGATAATTAAGTTTTGTTTATCTGTTTTATAATTAAAGAATATTAAACACGGATTTTTTACTTTTTGTGTAATCAATAACTTATGGCTTAATTTAATACATAGTTGTGATGTAGCGAGGCCCTACTTTTTAATGCTTATAATCTAAAGCTAAAATGAAGCAAAAAAACATGTTATCTGACTGACAAACTAATTACAATTTATTTTTTCACCCAGGCATCATTTCAGTTTATTTATTTCACCGTACGATGAAATATCATTCGTTTTTAACAAAATTAATTTTATGACACTAATTTGGAAAATATTACGATTTGAAAACTTAAAAAAAAAAAGATATATTATGACAACGTCTTATTCTTTACTAGATTCTATCTTATGTCCTCCCACAAGGTCCCTTCTATCTGTGTACTAAATTTAATTAAAATTAGTTCAGTAGTTTAGGCGTGAAAACGTAACAGACACATGAAGTTACTTTCACGATAATATTAGTATGGATTATAATTGAATTTATTTACCGAACATTGTCCTCTAACTCCGACGTCTATCCAGCCAGCGCAGATCACATTCTCGTTGACGAGGAACGGCGTGTTGGCATATCGACCAGCGCACAGCTGCTGTTCTACCACCCACAGACCTACGTGTCGAAGCTGAGTAGTGGGTTCTTCTGTTTCCTGAATAATAAACGATTTTTAATATCGATCCAGCGACTGACTAATTCTCTAGCCATAGGACGCGACATTTTAAGCGAATATTGTGAGGATATTTCGTTTCACTTAACTCCTTTTGGATGTCTTTTGGTGGGTTAATTTGGGATAAATGACAATTTTTTTTTCATTTGGCCTTAGTTGTTTTATACCTCCTGCAAAATGGAATCCATTGCAAATACCCGCAGCAAAAAACATAGCTTTTCCTTGAAGGCCAGAAGATATTCTCGCCGAATCAAGTACTATTACTGTACAAAGCTCAGATCTTTTCATCTTTTGGGATGACTGGACGCAATTGAAAATCGAGCAAAAGATAAATTTGAAAAGCGACTCTATCGGATTTGTGAACCTCAAGCATCGTCGCAGAGTTGTTGATCTGGCGGATTTGGTTTCACCAGTCCATTCCATCATCGGGGTACAAGTCGCAGATTGGCTTACCATCCGTACATTGTTGCCATCCCATCTGCTCGTACCGAGCGATTTACCAGTACCTCTCTTTTTGGAATTGCTTAGAAATAGAATGAATTGTCTGGTCTTGAATTCCCCAAAGAGTATAACATGAAACTCTTCAAAGCCAGAGTGATAGGCACTTTCTGGGTAGGCTTATATAATCTTAGGCCACATTTTAGCTACCAATAGGTCAGATAGTGACCAAATGTCAACCCAATCTAAGAATATAATAAAAAAAAAATGTCAAAGTAGTGAAATAAAACAAAATAGCGCTATAACATCGCTAATATGTCATATTCTATGGCTAGAGTTATGTATAGCAAGCTAGAGGCGTGAGGCGGTCGCTCTGCAGTTATTTCGGAGCTTATTCCATGCAAACAAACAAACAAACTATAAAACTTTTCCTCTTTATAATATTAGTATAGAATTTTTCATACTTAAAATAATTTGTTTACCTACTCTTGTGTTGTAAAAACAAAAATATATTTAAACATGATGCCAATATGTTTTATGACACAGCATATTAAGAATGAAATGTTATGATGTTTAGGAAATTTTTACGATTGTTTTTATATTTACAACTTAAAAATAGTGAACAAAAATGGAAGGTACGTATTTTTTATTACTATTTACCTTTTAAAGTACCAATTTTTGTAGCATAAAGTATAATAGTTGACTGTAGAAATTTTTATTCTTCGCTCACTATCTGGCGCTGTGATTATTATTATTACTATTATTATGGCCCCCTAACCCATTACGTCACCGAGCTACTTCTTATTGATCTTAATAAACAAAAATATATACAGACAAATTTACAACCTCTTTTTTTTTGGAGTTGTTAAACAAATCTATAACCCACACACAGCCATGTTAACATTACATGTCAATTCTCGCAATGAATTTTAAACTCTACTGTCAAAGCATTTTTAAAGTTTAAATTCATGTGCAGAAATTTGAGAGAATTTTATAAGTCTATATAAGAGGTATATAGGAGTGTAATTGTGATACTTATCACAGTTATAACTATGAAGTAACGATATAACAAATCCGAATAAAAGTTAAATTTTTTTTGTTTAGTAGGTGGTAGATGCAACAAAATTGACATCTTTATTTTATTTTTTTTATTTTAATCGGCCAACATTTTTTAACAACCTATCAAGCTCAGGACGTCTGTTGGCTGATAAAAAGAACGAGTGAAATAGCTCACCAGAACCAAGCCATTACAAACACATTCCAAGACTTCTACATCCACCTTCTAAATTTTTATGTGTATTCATTACAATAAAGAAAACTTGAATACTTACTAATCCATCGCCCCATCCAATAGCTGTTACAGGTGTGTTTGGAAATAAGGTATCAAATGCACCAGGAATAAATGCTCGAGCCACAACGCCTGGATGGAAAACAATGTTGAAAGTGGTCCTTAGCATCCCAATGTCGTTAGCTCTG